TGTGTGTGTGTGTGTGTGTGTGTGTGTGTGTGTGTGTGTGTGTGTGTTATAACATGTGCAATTAAAAGTCTCAGCAGCGTACTGGCATTCTTTAATCAGTGTGTGTGGTGCGCATGTATGTTCGAGTGCTTCAGAGCGTTCTCCTATCAGTGTGTTTGCGTGAGTGTGTGTGCGTTTGTCTGTGTGTATCTTTTTCCTCCTCTTGGCTGGCCTGTCTCCTCATGTTTGGACATATGTTGAGTTTTATTTCACAGAGACATCAATCCTGCTGGCCAGCTGTTAGGACAGCTGCTCTCTCTGTGCCTCTTCTCGCTGTATTCACTCCAGTCAGTCGCTCGGTATCTTTCTTCCTATCTGTCTGCCTCTGTTCTCTTCCTTTTTTTCTTTTCTTTAATATCGCTGTCTTTCTTCCTTTGTTTCTGTGTTATTCATCTTTCTTTATTTTCAGCTGCTCTCTGTCCTGTTCTTGCTCTCTTTCTCTCTCGTCTTTCCTCTCTGATGCTGTGGGGTCTGCAGCTGAAGTCACACCACTGACATAAATTTGGAAGTGCAAAGTGTAGCTGTCAGCTTCCATTTACACACGCTCGGTAGCGAAGTTAAGACGCAAAATGTTTTTTTTCCAGCCGTGGGTGTATTACGCAAACATCGGGCACCCACTAACACATCGGTCTTTGTTATTGTTAACATTAACTAATTTTTCAGATTAATGTTTTTTCTCTCTCTTTACCTTGGCGTTTCGACTGCAGACTTCAGGGTTCCTGAGCTTTGGCAACTGTACCCTGTGTGAGAGAAAGTGAAACAGACGCCATGTTTCCATTCCAATGCCAAGTGAATTAAAACAGAACTTTTGAAATGTCATCAAATATAAAATGTGAATGAAATATACTTCTACAAAGCAAACAAACTGGCTTCTCGAATGTAGACCCACTGCATGTCAGAAAACAAATGGAAAGTCTCTCTGCAGAATTGTTTCTGTTCTGTTGTGTATTTGAATTATGGTCAAATTTCACACTTTCACCTGGAATCAAAAACGCAAGAAAAATATACGTATCTATCTAATGACTATACAAACACAATGGAGGCGTGTCCTGTCTTGATAAAAGAAACAACGTATGATATTTCACAGACGGTGTGATGGCATTGTGTTGACATTTAGAGCCGTCGTGGTACCAAAGAGGTGGCCATAACGTAAATCTCATATACTTACATTACTAGACTCCTATCTTTTTTTTACATTGCTAAACATTGAGGATATCATTGAAAGAAGACTTAGAAATGGGATCGTACTCCCACTGACGCTCAACTAAGAACATTTTATTGAAAAGTCCATTCCATGAGCAACGTTTAAACACATGGAAACAGAGGGAGAAAAGGGAAAAAGAGAGAGAGACTCAGTCTGAGTGGAGGCCTGTGGCACACTGTGTTGTTCTTGGCAGTGGCAGTTTTGGGAGCGTTGATGCTTGCCTCACACACACACACACACACACACAGTGAGTTGCCTGTGGCTCGTGTAAAACACCAAAAACACTGTCTCTTGGCAGGTTGGCGTGGGGACAGGTGATAAAAGTGTGTTTACTCTCAACGCTCGCCGGCTCACTGGCTGCCTCTGCGCTGATTTACTACAACTCTCTCTTTACCCACTTCTTATCTCCTTCACCCTCCTTCTGTCTCTCCTTCACTTTGTTGTATTGCTCAACCATCCCTTCTCTCCGTCTCTCCTCCCTGTCTTGGTGTTGAAACCATGTGGTTTACAACCAATTCAAATCTCTGATCTCAGGGCCAAGGGTTAGAAAAAGTTTCACGTTCTAATAGAAGAGTTTAAGATAATAGAAATAAAACACCTTTTATCATCAGTATACATCCACATATTAGTATTTATATATTTGCAAGGGCTTTCTCATCTTCTCTTTCCTTTTTTTATTTTATTTCCCTACTTCCTCACATTCCTAATCTCCCATCCTTCCGTTCAAACTCACACAACTCTCTGTACTGTGTAGAAAATGAAACAAGCATCTTCATCACCTTGCTCCTCAACTCACCTTCCCCCTTGTTGATGTTTTCTGTCATTCATTTCCCTCCTCTCTCATGTCTCCCCCTCTCTTTTCCTTTACTTCTACCTTACCTTCTCTCCTCGCCCCAGTCTTCTTCCCTCTCCCTCCTCTTCTTCAAAACCATCCATCTTCCGCATTTCTCCCCCACTTGATAAAGTCGGTGTTCGGACAGCGAGGAATTTTTATCCACGCTCCAATCTAAACAGCACTTGATCCCCGACTCGGTTGCGGGGACAGATAGAGAGCCATCTAGGGTAAAACATCTCCCTCTCGTCCCTCTCTTCTTCCTCTCTTCCTCTTTTTCTCCGCACTTACACCTCACCCCCTCCCATCGCCCACTGTCTCTGAGTCTGATCTGTTTATCGGTACGGGGGGTATAAATTGTGCATCTGAGTACACACGCGGTTGACTTATGCAGATGCATCTTGAAGTTACAGGTTGTATTTTCCTCCCTAAGTGCTCCCATAAATTGCGCTTCCCTAATTTCGTTTTATAAAAGGCTTGCTGAACGAGTGCACATCGGCGTCTTTCAGTCTTGTGATGGGGAGAAAAGAAAAAAAAGCCTCACATCCTGACCCCATCCTCCAGCTTTCCCCCTCCAACCAGCAGTAAATATCACCCCATTGAACCAAAGATACACAAATACATATCCAGTGGAGTCACTTGGCCGATAACCGATAAAACGATGAAAGATTGGGTGGATTTTATTGTCCTGAGGGTGGGGAAATTATCTTAATTATCTTATTTTGCAGCAATGTGGACCATCTGTCTGGAAATACTCGTGGTTGTTTTCTCCCCAAATAAGGGAAATCACCATTATTACTGTAGTTTTTAAGTTGTTTCTTTGTCTTGGAGCTCCCTACGCTGGCTTTGTTCCCCCCCCCCCCCCCCCCCGTTTACATTGATCCCATGTGATCTGGACGGCTGCATTAGCTTATTTACAACAATCATAATCCGACTGTAAACATGCAAGGCTTTAATGGACTCAACGAGGAAGTCGTGCTCGGCCGGCGGACGGCATCTCTCGACCACACAATGGTCCCATACGCACAAACTACACATTAAGCCATTCACAATAGGCCATGTGCCCTTATGAATGCCTATAGCGCCTTTTGTCAGGATAAAGGCTCCACAAATGAGCTATTGTCCGACTTAACCATTCTAAATCAGGCAAGCCCTCAGGCGCATGTTTTCCACACAGCGCCCAAGAATGTCTCCTTTTTGTGTGTGTGTGTGTGTGTGTGTGTGTGTGTGTGTTTTGACGTCCTTGGTGACTGAGGCTTCGGCATTGGGCCCCTGCGTGACCGTGACACCATCTGTGGCGTGTCTGCTGGCACGAAAAAACTGAATATACACAAACACTAACTAGGGCCGTTTGCAGGAGTGTGCGGACATTTCCAGTATGCCCAAGGGAGCAGTTTCACATGCACACACACTCACACAGGTATTGTACACCTGAAAGTGGCGGGAGAAGTATTAACTGTGCAAAGAGTACACAGTATTAGAAGCAAAAGTAGTCATTATATAGCGGAATGCCTGCTGTTATTGTTGTCTTTTTATTACTCCAATACAGAATTGTAATGTTGTAGCTGGTTGAGAAGCAGCTGGTTTTAACCACTTTATAAAAACAGATGGGTAGTTAAGTAATAATGTAATAATGTGTTGTTTATTAATAACTTTTAGTTCATGTAAAATCCTTATTTGCAAGCTAACTTGTCAAATAAATGGAGTGGAGTTAAAACTACAATATCCATGAATGTAACAAGAAATGGAAAAAAATCCAGTTAGGTACCAGTGCCTCAAACAGTAAATGTACTTAGTTACATCCCCATCTGATACCTGACATCATGCACCACTTTACTTTGTGCATTTCTGTCTTTCTTTTGTGGAAAAGTCACACCCAAACACTCATGCTTGCACATGCCTCTCTGTTCCTTTCTCTCTCTCTCTCTCCCTCTCTCTCTCTCTC